TCTCGATATACGAGCCATATCGATTGACCATTTAAACTCTATTCAAATTCCCTCAAACTTTAATTCTACGTCCCATAATGTCTCAGATACATAACAAACGAATTTACGTTAGAAACTGAACTTAATCGAAAAACCAAATTAAATCCGAAGATGAAACACTGAAAAATAGCTTACCAAAGGCGAATTTGGAAAAACGGACTTCGGATTCAGACTCAGGACGTCGAAAATCATAAAATAAGACTTTTCGAAAAATTTAACTTTTTTGTTCAAAGTCAACGGTCAGACCGGTCGACGGGTCATGTCAAAGTCAACGGGTCGGGTCGAATTGGGTTGACTCGGTTCGAGTCAGATTAACTCGATTTAGGTTAAACAAACTTGGTTCAGACCAAATTGGTTGATTCGGGGCGGTTCAGACCAAATTGGTTGATTCGGGGCGGTCCAGACCGACTGGGTTTTGGTCGCATAGAGGAGGGGATCCCTATGGTGTAGGCGGTGAGGTGAGGCGATGTCTTGATCGACTACAATCAAGTGGAAAACGAGCGGTGGGGGTCTTGGAAACAATAAAGCTTCGATGGTCCCCACACGTCGATCAGCGGTTGAATTCGGAGCAACAAGAGAGGGTTTTTGGTTGGGACGAGGTGACAGTTCGGATGGAGGTGGTGGGGTTCTACACTGTCGGCCGGAGTAAGGCGGATCGGGGGAGGAAAGGTGACGGGATAGGGATTTTAGGCTTGGCGAAAAAATTAGGGATTTTTGGGTTGGCTTGCTAAATAGGGGGTTTAATTTTCACTGTTAAGCAAAAATGAAAAAATTTTAGGGTTAAGTCCTTAAACTTCTCAGAGTTTTAAAACTAAGCTGCAAGTTTCTAGAACTTATAATTTAGTCCTTTAAATTTACTTAAATTAATAAAATATAACCCCTAAATTAGGGTTTGACAATTTTCATCCCCTTAAACAAATTTCGTCCTCCAAATTCACTCAAGTCATAGAAATACAGAAATGAAGCTTCTAGAAATTCTTCAATATCTTCATATAGTTTTTACAGAAGTACGAGTCATCTATTAATCCTTAACCAGTTGAGTATATATTCTTGTCAGAACTCTCCCTCATCCTAATAAAAAAATATGAACTAAATTATCCTTGTGGAAATAATTCGGTATTTCGCTATGAGGTTAGGTTCATAGGGTCAGAATTTCTCGGATGAGTAACTCTCACATTACTCGTGAGGTACTTTACAGAATTTGGATAAACATTACTGGTATTCCTTTATGCATAGGTCGAGCCCTAATGGATATAAAACTTTGGTTAGCTCATTACAGAGAAGAGCTCGACTTTGGAATTTCGGCTTAGAGAAGTACGATTATAGTCTAAGGGCATGTACTGACGAGACATCGTATAACAGTCGATCGATCGGTCTACCCAGAAAAACTCGAATCAACCTAACCTCTGATACCACTAAATGTAACACCCACACACTGATATGGGTGACCCGATCCGAATCGATGTGTCACATTAGGGCTACCAGAGTGACCTACAGTAAAAATCCTAGAAAAATTTAAAATTTCTGTTAAAATGTGTAAAATCATAAAATAAATTATAATTAAAATACAAGTTTAGAAAACCATTCATATACTACAAACAGAATTAAAATCATACACGTTTCAGACTCATATATAAAAACATAATATAACCTATATACCCCTTAATCACAAGCACACTACTCCACAAGTAACGCTAGTGGAACTCCAATGCTGATGTCGTAAACTGTAATGGATCAATTTAACCTGAAATAGTAAGTAACAAAGTGAGCTTTGGGAAGCTCAATAATACAGAACTACCAAGTGATGCTGAAGGACAATGCAGATAACGAGCAAGCATAAAACTTCTTTATCGATCCAGACATCTACATGTTTTCAAGATGAGCTGAGGTTCCACTGATATTTCTTCGAATGAAAGACATGAAGATTATAGTTCCGAGGAAACGTTCAGAGAACCAGGTTCGGGAGATCAGAATAGGGTATCTAGTGTGTACCATAAAACCAGTAAAATGATACATATCTTTTTAAATAGTAACAGTTTAAAACGTATTTTTAAAACCATAGTAAAACCCTCCAACCGAACGCCAATATGCAACTCCCCAGAACTTCATCTATAAGGGCTTACCCTAGGCTCATTGGGCATAAATACCAATCTAAGGGTATACCTTGGGTTCATAATGTCTTACCCTAGCCAAAACATAGGTGTCCACCCGAGGGGAATTCCCTCAGGTCCATAAGGACTTACCCAAAGCACATAGCAGAGGTGTCACCCTAAGGGAGTACTTTAGGGTTCATAAGGTCTTACCACTAGACCCATTAGGCCTAGGAGCCCACCCAAGGGTCACTTTAAATCCGTAAGGAATTACCAGCTCGATCGGTCTGAACTTATATAAGAAATTACCAGTTTGACCGAGCTGAACCTGCAGAAACTTCATACCATATCCTAGAGTACCCCGAAGGAATCAATTTTCAGGTAGTATATTACAGCAGCATAGAAATCACAATTAAGACATATCAATTTAGGAGGAACAATATCCAGAGATCATGAATCAGACAGGAACACTTAAACTTCAGTAACTCAAAAATCTCGATAAAACACATTTCAAAAAAAATAAAACAATCATATAAAACATAGGGAACACACTAGAGGATCCATTTATTTTCTGAAGGTACTTGGTATTTATAAGATAGGGAGCCATGAAACTCCTGTAAATTGATTAAATTTAGAAAGAATATCCCTATAAAAGGGTTTGATAGCTGACTGATTCATCAGTTATTTGGGACATGATTTATCAAGATCATATAGTATTCAAATAATTTTCAGAGGCACTATGTGATTGGAAAGGTATTCATAATCCTTTGCATCAGAGTTACTTGTGATTTCAGATATGACATGAGTGATTACATTATTCAGGAAATCAAGGGCATTTTGGGCATTAAATTCTTGGATAATTCTTAGTAATTTTATCTAATAAGGGAGAAACGATGATTCATGGTATTTAAGATTTGTTTTGATTTATCAGGATATCAAGTTAACTTGAACTGAACAAATCCCAACACTGTGATACTTGTCAACCGATCAAATCGTTACACTTCAAGGGTATTTACACTTTAATTATGTCAACTCTTGTCGAGCTGACCATCTTCAGAATTATCGCTGAATGTATCTTATAGAAACGAACATGTATTCCAATGATATTTATTTCATTTTTGTATTGCAACGATCTCAAGAAATGTCGACGTGCTTGATTCGTGGTTCAAAACCCTTATAGATAGTACACCATATTAGATCATCAGCGTTTACAGACTTATTCAAGTTATTCGCTTAGTTCTATGTCTTTGAGGGTAATTAGGTCATTTAGCAGTCAAGTTATCCTTGTCACTTCGGAGTTTCTAGAGTAATTCAGTCATTTCCACAATTCAGAGACCTACAATACTTCAATTTAGTTCAACTTGGTCATATAATATAGTCATTTTACACTTCAGAGGCAATTCTGTGATTTTATAATCAGGTAATTTCAGTATTAAAGTTTCTAATGATGATAAATAAAATTTAGAGATTCTGAGGTTATTTGCTTTTTTGGATAATCGCTGAACTTGAAATCATTCTTATCAGTCTTCTTGTGTCTATGTAGGTAGTTTGAGCCTTATTCAATTTAATTTATTTTGCAAATCAGACCAAGTTTAGAATTTTTAACTACACATATGTAACCATATTCAACCATGCATTCACTAATACTAGCATGTTCCATACAACATGCATAAGGTAGTAACGTATTACCTTGATATATGAGCTATATCGATCGACCATTTAAACTCTATTCGAATGCCATCGAACTTTATTTATACGTCTCATAATGTATCGGATACATAACAACGAATTTACGTCAGAAACTGAACTGAATCGAAAAACCAAAATGAATCCAGAGATAAAACATTGAAAAATGACTTATCGAGTGCAAATTTGGCAAAACAGACTTCAGATTCGGACTCAGGAAGTCAAAAAATAGAAAATATGACTTTTCGAGAGAAAAAATTTGACTTTTTGTCAAAGTCAACGAGTCTGATCAAAGTTAACGGGTCGGGTTGACTCGGTTCAGACCGGGCTAGCCGGTTCGTGCCGGTCTAGACTGAATGGACCGGTTCTAGAAGGTTTCCAGGACGGGCTGAAGAAGCCCTCGCGCACGCGGAGGTGCGTGGCGGTGACGACGGGCTCGGGGTGATCGGTCGATTCTTTCGAGAGCATCTACACATCATTTGCAACCAAAAGTTTTTACCACAACAACCATCAACCATACCTAAACAATCAAAAATATAATCGACTTACCCAATGACGGTCGTCCGAGGAAACGACGACGATGCGACAACCCCCGGGCTGGGTTTTGGGCGCATGGAGGAGGGGAGTCCGATGGTGCAGGCGGTGAGGTGAGGCGACGTCTTGATCGACGATAATCGAGTAGAAAACGAGTGATGGGGTCTTGGAAACGACAAAGCTTTGATGGTCCCCATACATCGATCGGCGGCTGAATCCGTAGCAACAAGGTAGGGGTTTTTGTCGGGACGAGGTGACAATTTGGATGGAGGTGGCAGTGACCTACACCGCCGGTCGAGGCAAGGCGGATCGGGGGGTGGGAAGGTGATGGGTTAGGGATTTTGGGATTAGGGAAAATTGGTGATTGTTTGGTTGGGTTGCTAGACAGGGGGTTTAATTTTCACTGCAAAGGAAAAATGAGAAAAATCATATTTAAGTTCTTGAACTTCCCAAAGTTTTGAAACTGAGTTGCAAATTTCTGTAACTTGTAATTTAGTCCTTTAAATTTACTTAAATTAATAAAATTCAACCCTTAAATTGGGGTGTGACATAGATATATTCTATGTGTAGAGAAACAAAAAGTCCAAACAGAACTCCAAGTCTCCATCTTCTCCTCCCACATCGATACAGCTGGTCTGGTTGCTTCCTCCCCCTTTCTTCTCTTCTTCCTCGAACCTGCAAATAAAAACAAAAAGTCAATACTCATTACCCTTCCCATATCTAAAATCTTCCTTTTCAATCCCAAATACAAAAAGAGTTTTTTGTATATCAGTTATGGGGAACTGCTTTGGAACTCAACAAGTTGATCACCATAGCCAATCCACCATCAAGTCATCCAGCCCAGGTACGTTTAAATTTTGATTTTGTTCATAGTTTTCTGTTTTATCATCTTGTGTGATTGACGATACACATGTATTTGCAGAAGAGTCGAAGAAAGTAAAAGACGGCACACCAAATGGATCACTTCCACCACCTACAACGAACAAAGAGAGCAGCGGCGTTGAAGGGAGAAGCAAGGAGGTTGGTGAAGCGGTGTCCGTGCCGGAAAGTGGAAAGATTCCGATGAACACCACCTTGAAAATATTCACTTTTGCTGAACTCAAGGCCGCCACGAGAAATTTCAAGCCGGCTACGGTGCTCGGAGAAGGCGGTTTCGGTAGAGTTTTCAAAGGTTGGGTCGATGAGAAAACATATGCTCCTTCGAAAGTCGGCGTTGGCATGGCGGTCGCCGTCAAGAAATCGAATCCCGATAGCTCTCAAGGCTTGCAAGAATGGCAGGTATTTTTTTTCTTGCTTCCATCAAACATTAACTAAGCAATGTAATTTAATTTTGTTATCACCAGTTCACCTCATGTTTAAAGATTATTGTTAAATGAGTGCATAATCAAAATATTCTATTATTAATAATTTTGATTACCAATTAATTTATTTGATTATATTTGAAATCCTTTAAATAAAATTAAATGTTTTAAATTCTATGATACTGAATAAAGAAAATTAAATTAAAAAGAATGTGCTTTTTTCGATTAAGTTAAAGTGATTACAAAGTTATATCTATTCTAAATAATCTTAATTATTTGACAATCAATAATCAATCACTTTTATAATCTTTGATGTTTAAACCTATAATCTTCAGAAAAATCAACGATTTCGTTAACTAATTTGATTAGTGTTAAAAAAAAAAAGAATGTATTTAGACGCAGGCCTTGGTTATTAAGTGTAAACACTGGGAAGGAGAATTGAAATGTCTTCCCAAAATATACGACGCCGTACTAATTTATGTATACCTTTCAATGTTTACATTTTGAGAATAAATATTTACAATTTGGCCAGTTTTTTCTTTGAGTTGACCTAACCACTACAACAATAAAGTCTTTTAATATATAATGTATTGGAGGATCATTATTGTCTTAGCGATAATTAGAAAAAAGAACTTTAATTTTTGATAGTTTTAGAATTATAAGTTAATATATTATAAAATTTTATTTCAATCTTCTAAAATTAAAATTTATAATTTATTTAAAAAAAATATAAGTTAACATCATAATAAATTTATATTTTAACTCTCATAGAACTTATGATTCAATTTTGTAGTCTGTCGTAATATAATTATGTGTTCAGCCCGAGAGGACTCTGACCTCATCCTTTAATTTTTTTTTATAACACTTTAAATTTTTGGCAATTTAAATATTTGTCACAGTAAATATGGTTCTATTTATTTTTAGGTTCTTTTTAACATTGGATCTTAGTTTTACTGTTGATATATTTGAAGATTAACAATTTAATCTCTTCTAATGTTTGATTCTAGTTTCGTCTAAGATATATTTAAAGTTTGCATTTTTGTGTAAAGAAAGGATTTTTGAAGAGTGGTGGATTTGGCTGCATGTGCATGATTATATATATATATATATATATATATATATATATATATAGATGGATAGGGGGCAGATGGGACAGTTACCCTGAAATTTTAAGATTATCATATATTTTAGATATTTTTATATATTTTTTATTGAAAATATATTTTCCCCTTTTAAAAGTACACTTCCCCGAGTATAAAATTTTGCATCATTCCCTTAATATATATAAATGAATCCATGATCTTTAAGGAATGAAAATTAAGTTGGTTTTGGTGGTGTGAGGACAGGCAGAAGTGAAATTTTTGGGCAAGTTCAGCCATCCAAATCTGGTGAAGCTATTGGGGTACTGTTGGGAGGAGAATCAATTCCTCCTCGTCTATGAATACATGCAAAAGGGCAGCTTGGAAAACCACCTCTTCAGATGTATGTAATTTAATGAACAAACACATCTTTTCTTTATCTCTATCTTAAGAGATTGGGGAAACTCAAAGCTGTTTTATATATATGAAAACTCAATTGCAGCGGGCAGAGCAGAGCCTCTTACATGGGCAACGCGGCTTAAAATAGCCATTGGGGCTGCCCAAGGCCTGGACTTTTTGCATACATCCGAGAAGAGTGTTATCTACAGGGACTTTAAAGCCTCCAATATTTTGCTGGATGGGGTAAATTCAATCCCACCCTCCCTCTTTTAGCTTTCTCCGAGTCATATACGACTAACAAACGGATTCGACTATCTTCCAGGACTACAACGCTAAACTTTCGGATTTCGGATTAGCGAAGTTTGGCCCTATAAACGGCCACTCGCATATCACCACACGAGTCATGGGCACTTATGGTTATGCTGCTCCTGAATATGTTGCCACTGGTAATGTACCAATCTTTCCTTTTGAACGGCCACCTCCTCTGTTGTGTTATGGAATAGGACTACAACTGACGTTAACATGTACAAAATTGTGTAGGTCATTTGTATGTTAGAAGTGATGTGTATGGTTTCGGAGTGGTGTTGTTAGAGATGTTAACGGGCCTGAGGGCCCTCGATACGAATCGACCGAGTGGAGAGCACAATCTGGTGGAATGGACCAAACACTCGTTGACGGAGAAGAGGAAGTTGAAGAAAATAATGGATCCAAGGTTGGACGAGCAATACCCTATGAAAGCTGCATTGCAAGCCGGTGCACTTATTTTAAAGTGTTTGGAATCCGATCCCAGAAGCCGTCCATCCATGGAAGAGGTATTGGAGACGTTACAAAAGATCAATGCCATCAATCAAAATCCTAAAGAGAGTAGTAAAGGTAGCAAATCGAAGTCAAGAGCTAACGATAATCGATCCCCGGTGCATTCTAGGTACGGTCGGGATACAAATAACCAACGCTCCGCCACGGCTACACCGCATCGATAGTTGTTCGGTTTCGGAGATGTGCATGTAACAAATTGTAATAATTGATGTTGTTCTCCTATACACGTATGTTTAACTTTTTTTTGGACTCGTATATAAAATACAATTCCAATACAGCGTACTTGAGGTCTAGTTTTATGTGAAACTCGAGCATATATTATTGTTATTATCACAATGAAAACTTTGCAGTTAATTTCAACATCAGCTTGAAATAATCAAAAGGCCAACCTGATTATTGACCATGGAAGCTTGGCCAATTTTGAGGATATCGATCTACATGGTTAATTGAGAATGATAAACATAACCTTTTACATGAAATGTTTTTCAAATATCTACAACATAGGTGTGATACCGTCAAGCGAGACTCGAGCCATGATCATGATATCATTATCATATATATAAAGATATATATGCAGTGAGTTTAGAAGATTTATGGAAGATGGTCACTCGTTCTCATAAGCTGTAAAAGTTTATTTGCTTTCCTTTGTGCTCTGTTTGTTCCGGTTACGGAGATCTCAACTAAATGCTCTTAAACACCAAACTGAAGGGCTGCAAGAATGTGAGATGAATTGTTCAAACTCAACTCGAGAAGAACCGAGGCTGCGCACTCCTTATTCTTCGGGTCCCGTCTCTGATGATATCGACCAGCACCCCAATGAAAAATAGCTGTCCGATCTCATATCTACCTTGTGGATGAGTTACTAGAAGCAAGAACATGGAGAGGGCCTCATCAACCATGCCCATTCTCTTATCCTTGACTAAGAGCTTCAATGGTGGCACAATGCCAGCGTCGATGGCCCTTGCCTTATTGGCTTGGTTGAGACATAAGTTGAACAGTGCAGTGACAGCATCTGTTTTGCCTCTACTCATCCCGGTCTCCAACAATTGTACTAATGCAGGGATGCCTTCTGAGAGAGCGATCGTTATTTGTTCTCGTCGAGCATCGATAAGATGAATAAAGCTGCGGTGGAATTCTCTCTCGACTCCATACTTCCATTTCTCGAGACGTCTAGTATAGCAGGTATTGCTTGTTCTCACGCTATGAGCTTCTTGTTAGCGTCGTCGATCGATAAATTCAATAGAGATGTCACGGCATACTGTTGATTTTAGGATTCAGATAGCGCAACAGTTGCACCAATGCTGGGATTGCTCCGCAATTAGTGAACAGAACTCGGCTCTCCGGGTGCTCCTTCGAAAGCATATGAATATCCTTCACTGCCCTTAACAGCACTTCTAATTCAGAGGAAGATAGTTCTTCAACCAAAGATGAGATCTCTTCCTCTTTGACAGAGGAGCCTTGTGAAGATTCAAGATCCTCTGTGTTGGGATGCTTATAATTGTTCTTCTCACACCATTGTGTAATAAGGTTCTTGAGGGCATGATTCGGCACTAGCGACAAGTGAGCCAGAGTCTGCCTCGTCTTCGGGCATGTCCTATTGTTAGAATCAAACCACTTCTGTATGCTCTCTCTTTCAAATGTCTGAAATTCAGTTTGAAAACACATGTATCAAACAATCAAGTGTAAATGATTCAAATGATGTAATTGTTTTCAGTCATTCTCATTCAAGTGGTTGAAACAAAGAGAAGTCCTTACCTGTCCGCTCGCGATGATAACTGGATCTCTCATTACGTCGAGTGTGATCGGACAAAGGAACTCATGAGGGATCACGAAGGACATCGACTTTTCCAACATTTTAGGCTTGACAGACTCCTTGAAAATATCAGTTACTTCCATGCCTAACATCTGTTTGAATTTATTGAGAATGTCTATAACCTGCACTACGCACTCTGAGGTTTGGCCTCTTTCTTTGGAAAGATTCCTTACAGCTATGGTTTCTTTCTTCAAGTCCTCAAAGGTATGCAAATCTAATTTCTTGGCTAGCCTTTCTATGATGGCTACATCAGCCATCCTTTCATCGGTTTCCGAGGATAGTACCATCAAATCTAATGCAAGTTCCATATCCTGCAAATGTTTTCGCCGTCTGCCTAGCCTCAACTGCGTCACCATTAGCTCGACCTGAATAACATCCGGCATTCGAATTTCAAATATACACATTGCGTTCCGAATAAGGCTTCAAAAACAAAGAAAGATTAACGGCGTGAAATTTGACCATCATTGCCTCAGTCTCCAATGCCTGAGAAAGAATAACCAACAATGGGAATTTTGAATTCAACGGATATAAATAAATGGACGGTGATGATGGGAGGCCAAATGTAGAAACATTCTCACCAGGAAAATCTTGCTACCAGCCCTACAAGTTTTCAGAAGTTTCTTCGCCAAACAAAGTACTTTCTTCAACTTCGACAATGCGGTACACCGTTAGGAGGAATGCAGGCACCGAGGAGCTGAATCTCGTCGAAGTATGGCAACAAAATCTTCATGCGCCTAACGAGGCTGTAACATTCTTGTCTCAGGGTGCTTTGGAAGTCTCCGAGCCGAGCGAAATATTCAATGAGGCTCACGCTTTCCTGGACAAAACCGGATTCATTTTGCTGTGCGTTAGCTGCACTGATTTCTTTCTCTTGCTCCATCCTCTCCCCTCTTCGGAAATCGATATCTACGTCTCTCTCCCTATGTACCAGCATCATGGTTCCCAAGCAAATGGGGACCGTGCCTATAGGTTTCTCTTCGGGCACCGGGCTCTGAAAGAAGGGAGAAATCATGTTGAAATATGGAGGAAGAGGAAGGGGAAGGCCAAGCCGAAGCCGAAGAGGGTGTCGAGAACTTAAAATCGAGAGACATTGAACATTAACGCAGGTTTCCATGAATGAATATGCTGATGGGGTTGATGTGCTTCTCCCGTGTGATCCCTTAGCGTGCATTTCGGGTCTGTTGCAAGGAATTTCGCCCGAGTTTTGCTTCTTAAAATAGAAAATCTAGAACAGGTGCTGTCTTTTATGTGATTATGTCATAATAGATAACTAAGTAAAACAGTTATATATAAATGAAATAAAAGACGGATTAAAAAAAAAGAAAATAACCTTAGTGACCAAAAATGTCTTATAATATATGATTTTAACCAACTTTTTTTGGATTTGTCAAAATGATCAACTAAATCGCAATGCGATCGATAATTCGCAACGCGATCTCCGGTATCGCAAATCAATTTCCAGATTCGCAACGCGATTCTGACTATTGCATTGCGATTTTCCAAATTCGAGTTGCGATTTTTCGACTATCGCAATGCGAATATGTAAATCGCAATGCGATTATGACTATCGCAATGCGATTCTGACTGTCGCAACACTGCATTTCAAATTCGCAATATGTTTTAGTTTCGTAACACAAATGTTTTGGGTATATAACTACGCAGCAGAAGCAACTCATAACCTAAATCCCTAAATCGCAACTCATTCCATCTCCATCTATCACTCTCTCCGGCGACATCCGTTCCTATATCTAACGACATCCTTCCCCATCCGGCAACAGGTTTTAGTTTCGCAGCTCGTTTGTTTAGTAAATTAATTTAAAATAATGAAATCATCTAATGTTGATCATGTTTGGATAGATTTGTGTTTTGGAGGGTCATGGGAGAATGTTCATGGTGTTTTACAATATATGCCTTTACCCATGAATCTTCAACTAAAACTGTTATTAAAAAAGTTAACTTATGAAACTCTAATGTTACGTGTTGCAAATAAATTGAATTTAGAGCCCTTAAGTGGATTTAGGCTATCTTATTAGAGAAAATGTAAAGTTTATTTGTTAACCGACAATGAAGATGTTAAACGATTCACTGCTTACATTAGTGTTTCGCAAGATGATGTTACATTGTATGTTGTTGAACCTAGAAGTAGTGAAGTTGGGTCAGTAGCGGGTAGTAATCAACTAAGTTTTTCAACCCCAGTTTATGGTGCTCAAAATTTAATGGTTCCACCACAATTTCATCACCAAGCAAATTTTGTTTCACCACATTTCCAATATCAAACACAATCTCAAAACCCACAACATTTCCCTAATCCAAATCCCAATCAACATTCAGCACCAAATTCCGGTTTTCGTATTAACCAGTTAGGCGATGATGAGCCAACAGAAAAAATTGTGAGTACTAGTCGGTATTCGAAATTTGATCTTGGTCAATACCCAGACTTTGATCTTGGTCAATACTCGAATTTTGATGATTTTTCATAAGAAGAAACAGACCCTGCGTGTAATGATTTTGATATTGATCAATACCCGAATTTTAATGATGAAACAGCCGCTGCCGAGGAAGATGTTGTTGATGATAATGAGGAGGAAGTTACGACTTTGAATGAACATGTTGAACATCCATTCTGTAATTCATATAACCCTGAAAAAGAAAGATAAGAAGAAGAAATCCCCGAAGAAAAGTCCTCGAAGAAAATGTCACGGGAGTATAACTGGAATATGCCAGAATTACTTCAGATACCGGAAGAAGAGTTGGTAAAAATAGCAGTTGATTGTTACACAAAATTATTCGTATCAAGAAAGATGATTGTTTTGATACAAAGGAAGACTTGAAGATAGCTTGTATACGAAATGTGTGGAAGATGGCTATCAACTAAAAGTTAACAAATCAAGCAAAGATCATTTCGAAACAAGGTGTATGATTGACAAGAACTGTACGTGGCGTATGATTGCAAAGAAGATAAAAGATTGCGAAATGTTTCAAGTTAGGATTTTTATTGATAAACATACATGTTCAAGAACCCAAGTTTTTCCTCACCATAGACAGGCAAACAAAAAGGTATTGGGTGGTTTTCTGGCTGAGTTAATGTTTTTGAATGACAGGGTATATCGGGGACATGAAATTATGACTGACATGAATGCTCGGTTCAAGATTAGTATCTCATATTCTCAAGCTTGGAGAGCAAATGTTATGCCTTGGAATTGTCGAGGGGGTCGCCAGAAGCATCGTTTGCCCAAATGTCGGCTTATTGTCACAATTTAAAGCAGAAAAATTCTGGGTCGGTAACTCATATCAAAACAGATAGAAATGGACGCTTTGAGTTGCTGTTTATCGCCATTGGTGCTGCGGTTAGTAAATCAATATAATT